CCTTCGTCTGTCGACTCTCGACTCTCGGCTTTTGGCTTTTCATATCTTAATTTTGGTGTTGAGTTTTCCTTATTTTTTTAAATGTAGAAGATTAATTATGGCCTCAAAAAGAGAGCGGTAGAGAGAGCAGGGAAAAGTAAAATTTCTCGCCATGAATCATTCGAAGACTCGAAGCGAATTGGCAACTAATCTCATACCCTGGGGAGGGGGTCATGCATATAAATCCAGCAACCGCAGACACACATTTTGCCACATTGCCAGGCGGCAGGCACCTCAAATTAAATTAAGCCATAATTTATATGCCAGAAAAAGAGCAGGAAAAGAGCAAAGAAAAGCTCAAAATTCAAATGCCCAACAAATATATGGCTCTAAAATCTGCTGCACAGACACGCACACACACACACACCAGTTGGCCAAAAAGGAAAGACAGAGAGAAATGTTGAGAGAATTTATTGGAATTCCATCAATTGTGGGGCCGCTCTCTGTGTTCCCATTTCGAGTGGTTAGACATCCCACTGTGACCCGCACAAAAACTCAACTCCAACTGCCAGGCAATGCTTTGAGCTAGAGGCCAGGGACTGGGGACACGGAGACAGAAAAGTTAGAGCCAGTACCAGGAGCCAGGAGACAGTAGCCAGGAGCCAGAAGCCAGAGCCAGAACTAGCATGGACACTGGCAGGGATGGCAGTTTGACCCGCAGGAGGGACTTTGGCACGGAACGGCTCATCATAAATACAAAGCAGGGCAGCGCTTTGTCAGGCAACGTTCGACACTTTTATTGGCTCCCACACTCAGCTGGATGGCTGCCTCCTCTCGCTTGTCTCTCTCCCTCCCTCTCTCTCTCTCTCTCTCCTTCTGGCCGTCATCGATATGCCAGCAGCATCCTGCAGTTCCATCTGCCTGGCCGTGCTTCAAACTCCTGCTGCATCTCCTGCTCCAACTGCTGCAGCGTCTCCTGCATCCATTGCTCCAACATCTGCTCCTTTTCCTACCTTCTATCATGCTCTAGGGCACCACCTCCTGCCTGCAGGCCAAAGCCTGGGGTTTGGGGGGTTCCTTTGTGCCAGGCAAATGAAATTGAAAATTTTTATGATGCCTTCTGCCTGGGAGCGGCAGCGGCAGCACCACCCGGAACTTGCTCAAGTTTCTAGAATGTTGAAAATTTAAGCAGCTATATAAAGTTGGTTAATCCGGCAGCTGATTAAGATGAGATTGAGAGCGGCCAGAGGTGAGGCCTAGGGCACAGGTTAATGGCATAGTCAAAGCCAAAGTCTGTATAATTTTTATGACTACCAATGGGCTACACGTGCTGCTCTCTCGTTGATGTTTATGGCACGGAGATCGGTCTCTATTCATCTACAAAAAAAAGAGAGAAAAAAAAACTGCAGCTTAAATATTTTGTAGAGCAGAAGAACTCTTGAACTAAACGAGTTAGCAGGGTGGGTGAGGGCCTGTAGGGCTCCAAAGTAGCTGGCAAGTAACAAGCTTAACCGCAAAAGTTTTAAATAAACTTTTGTTGCTGTTTTTCCTATGTAGCAGAGAGCAGAATGCGTCCGCGCAAGCGGCATAACTATAACTTCCGATTCCGGGCGGTGACTTGCGTGGGTGGTGGTGGGGGAGGGGGCCCACTGAAGTTGTTGCCTTGTAATACAGTTAAATATAAATTCAAAAAATATACGAGTACGAGTGCGAGAGAGCAACTTTCCTTGCCACCATTTTCCTTGTTGGTTTTTGCTTTCTTCTTTTTCCCTTTTTCTCATTTTTTTTCTTTTCGTTTCTTTTTCTATTTTTTTGTTGCCACTTTTTTGTTACTTATGCAATTTGCATGAGCGGCAAACACCCACGGAACAACTAACAAGTCTGCAGCATCAGCAGCAGGAGGAGGAGCAGCAGAAGCACCAGCAGCCGCAGCCAACAGCCACAGCAACAATGATGGCAGCCAGCAAACTTCCTGCCTGATGAATAAGTGTCTGCTCCGCCATGTTTGTTCCTCTTTCTCCCTTTCTTCTCTGTGTGCGTGTGCGTGTTTAGCTTGTTTAAATGTATGCAACAAACAACAATAATAAAAACAACTTCCTAATTGAGAAAATAAAAATCAACAACAATAATAACTGCCTCGAATGGGGACAATGGGCAGCATAAGTGGAGTCGAGTCTGAAATCGTTTCAAAACTGCAGTAATTGAAAGCAAGTGAATAGCTGAAGAAACCCAAATGGAAATTTAAAGAAGAAACTTTTTCTTTAGTGCTTTTAAATAACTTTAAATATCGTTTACACTGGGAGGGCTCTTGAGTATATTTCCCTCAAGCAGAACATACCTCTTTCTCAGCTCATTTCACCCATTGTACCGCCAAGAGGAGAGCAGCAGCAGCAGCAGCAGCAGTGCAGCATAGCCGCAGTCTGGCATAAATTTAACGCAGCACAAGACGGACTTCCGCTCGGACCAACCGCCATGTTTTTATGCATGCAGCCTGCGCCCAGTGCCTGCGCCTGTGTGTCTCTCTGTGTAAAAATACAGTTTAACAGAAAGAAATGCAACAAAAAGCAAAACGAGAGAGACACAAACAGAACAGAGCAGAACAGGCAGCCAGTCAGCCAGGCAGCAGCCAGGCCCAAATGAAGTTATACAAACGCTGATAGCCAAACGAGAGGCAGCCGCGAGCAACAGCAGTAGCAACAGCAACAGCAGCAACAACCACCAACAGCAGCAGAAAACAAATGGCGAGTCATATTAATTTCTGCTATCTCCGTGACGCTTTACATGCGTACTCCTCGTACTCGACGCAACTCTAGCAATAAATTTGATTTGTTTAGCAATTTGTTGCATATCGCATTGCGCATACGCCCCGTGCATCCATCTCCTTGCAGTCACGTCGTCGCTCTGGCTCTTGGCTCTTGGCATTGTGGGTCTGTATTTGCTTTAACAATGAATAACGTGCATGTGTGTGTGTGTCTGTGTGTGTTTGTTGGTTATTTTTCGCTTTTATGTTGCAGCTTCATGCCGACATTTTATGCACTTCCATTGACAATAATTTATATTGAAATGTGTTACTACAGGACTCGAACATAGTCTGTGTGGGGGCTCCCTGCGTGGGTGTATTAGTTTGGAGTGCTTGGAACATTTAACACGTTGTACACTGCCATCATTCATTCGATAAAGTAAATTACCTTTTTCTCAGTGAAATCCAACAAACCGGAGTACAGTACTCCAGCCAAAAAAAACCCACTCGTTTGTGGGAAAGTATCCCCTTTTACTTCGCATTCTTCCAAACAATTATGACCGAGCGCTTCCTTGCCAGTGCAAATGCAATTCTAATTTGTCTGTTTGCAACCATAAATTTCAGTGCAGCAGTTTGCCAATTGGCGACACTTGCAACAAAGTATCGTGGCTGCCAGCAGTTTTCATTCTCTTTTCCCTTTTTTTTTTGGTGGATGGGGGAAAGAAAAACGCAATCGATGAAGGTCCTGATGTCGTGGCGGGTTCCTGGCAGAATCTTTGCGAACATTTTAATAATTAATAACAATTTAGCGTGCACTTAATTTTAATTATTACTCAATTAGGTCAGCGCCATTACAATTTAAGTACGCGAGGCATAATTAAACAATTTTCAGGCCAATGGCAGCCAGCCCTTTTGCCCAGTTTTCCCTTGGCTTGCTCACAGCCACAGCCCTGACGGGTTGTCCAGCCAGCACGCTCTCGTTTCGCGTGGAAATTTGTTCCGCACTGTCATTGGGGATGGCTCTGTGTGTAAATTTGATTTGATAACATTTTGTCAGTGCCGCATTTATGATGCACATAAATTTTACGACCAATTTCAAGTTATAAATAGTTGACGAGGAGGAATCAAACCCTCAATGAAGTGACGATGGAGTTGGCAAACAGGACATCCGCAAAGACACAATCAAATCAGCAGCTCTGAAGTTTTAAGTGCATCAACTGAAAGTCTCTGCTCTGCCAGAAACTTAACCCAGAGTAAAAAATGAAACGAGTATTCCCTGGGCTGGCGAGAGATCTGCATTTCAATTAATTTTTTTTTCTGTGTTTGGAAAGTGTTTGAAGTTTGAAATGAAAGGTTGAAATGGGCGCCAGAGATGGAAGCAATTTGAATGTCATTAGGCGGAGCCGCAGCCCAAGACAATCCAAGAATCCACGCATGGAAAGCAGGAAACAAGAAACCGGATACTGAATGCTGAGTGCCGAATCCAAAACCGATGACAATACCAAAGAAACCAACGCAAGAGGAAGCAAAAATAAAGAAAGGTATAAATAAAACTTCATATCTGATTGAATAATAATGTGTGCTTAAGGATTTAATGCGCTGCCGGCAGCTGCTCGAGGCCCCAGGACGACTCTCTGGGTAGCTCCCAATGGGGGGAAAAAAAAACAACGAAACAACGACGACAACAAAATGTTAAATTACAATACCATGAATGGCAGAGAAAGGCAGCAAGCAGTAGCAGCAGTAGGAGCAGCAGACACACGGCCAGTGGGGAATTTTGTTTGCCTCGATGCTGATTGCCAAAAAAAGAAGGAATAAAAATAATAAAAAAAAAAAAACAGGAAGAGAACAGAAAGCATATAGCAGAAAGCAGGCCACATCCCGGCTAGCAGGGGCAAAAAATTGAATTTCCTTATCGCACGTTTTCAAATTAACCCAACAGCCCAGCCCCACACCCCCCGCAAGCCAGCCATATGCATACATATGTGGGTCCCTGGTTCTGGTCCAGGCCTCTCGGGGCTTGGGTGTCAAGCTTATTTGAATTTTAAATAAAATTACGTGTTGGTACCCTTTATTTGCGAAACTATCATCATTAGCAGCACATTTAGAGAGACAGCCCCAGCCGCATACTTATCCTTTTGGCAAAGTCCTTGATCTGTTCTAGAATACTACGCTTTAGCCACATATCTTTATTGATTATTATAATTGAATGCTGAGAATTATAGCCACCATTCCCATTTGTTCCCCATAAAAAGTCAGCCAAAATCGAACAATCGTTTGTGCTATATTATTATATGAATTTATTAAATTACAATGCACTTCGCTGCATACTTTAAGCTATTCTTAATAGATCTAAACAATAAATTCAATACGAAGCCAAGCTGCAGCAAGAGCAATAAAGCCATATGACACTGAGTGGGTAACACCATTGCTAATAAAAAATAATACAAATAGGCAAAAATATGCAAAAGAGCTGTTCGAGTACTTACTTGCTTTTGAGAACATTCTGTTCGAATTTCCCCATTGTATTGCCTGCTGGCTGGTACCGTCCCACAACATAGACTTTGCGATCTTTGCCATTGGCTTTGCCCATGCCCAGTTTCGTAGTGCTCTTCCAAACGACTTGGGTGAAGTGTCCGGTGTTCATGGCGAAGCCTGGCTTCTTAAAATCGTAGAGGGATATTTCATCATACCACGCCTTTACACAATCATTCGGGTCTCCTCCAATAGTAAGGTATAAGTTCTCACCAAGACCAGGAGCTTTTGAGTGCTCAAATACGTCCTTTTCGGCCAATTCCTGTGTGTGGCAGAACCTATTAGTTGGTGGTTGTCTGCTGATTTCGTTTGATATATTACATCCATACCTTGGCATATGATTCAGCGCCGTTACTCAACTCCTGGTCCAATGTTAGGTCTGGGGCACTGTGTTTTTTCCTGTACTCATTATGCTTTTTAAGACAATCCTCAGCGAAATCAGCTTGGATCTGGGCGAACTGCAATTAAAAATGATCGATCCTCAACGGTAATTTAAATTATTTATTTTCTTGCAATCACCCCACAAAGTGTTAACACAGTCACAATAAATTTCACTTGCATTTTTTAAAATATTTTTTTGGAGTTGAAATTTTTCTGGAAAAATGTATATTTTTAACTAATGATATATGACAAGACAGACAACATTTTCCAAAGCTATATTTCCATAGTAAATGTGTCTCTCAATGTTATATCAGGAATATTCTATTTATGGTCAGCAGTTTTCGTTTTGCTTTAACAACCGTATGAAGGTTATTACCACATCAATTTATTAAATTAAAATGCATTACCAATCACAACAGCAGCTTAATTAAAGCAATCGATAACACTACTCGACAAAATCGAACTTTTTTTTCCACAAGGATCCAAACCGACTTTTTCTGATAGATATGGAGATTTAAAATTTTTTAAAGAATTATGGTTTTTTTCTATGGCAGAACTTTTTTTTGAAAAATGTTTGAAGTCTGGTATTTTTTTTTAAAGCTTTTTTCAGAGAATGCACCTATACACAAAAAAATAGAGGACACAGGATATAATTTTTTTTCGACTTTTCCTGAGTTTTTAAAGTCAAAATTTCGTAAAATATACCGCACAAAAATCATCATTTTTGAATTTCAATGATTTATATTTCCCAGACGGTAAGCTGTAATCACAAAGTGTTTAGGCTTAACTTTTAGCGGTTTTAATTATCTTTTAAAAATAGCAAAGTTCTTTACAACGAGACGTAAGATACTAGAGTTATGTGAAAAAAACCAACGCTACCTCTGAAAAAAGCTTAAAAAAATATACCAGGCCCCAAATCTTTAAGAAAAAGTTCGTTTTGTTCCTTGAGGAAAAATCGTGTGGACTAGTGTAATAGATAGATCCAAATAATACATTAAATAAAAATCCAAGCTGCAGTAAGAACCACCAAGCCAAAAGAAACTGAATGGGTAACTCCATTGCTAATAAAAATGTGCTAAATTAATATTAATATTTCTTTCACAAGAGCGGTTCGAGTACTTACTTGCTTTTGAGAACATTCTGTTCGAATTTCCCCAATATATTGCCTTGTGGCTGGTACCGTCCCACAACATAGATTTTTCCACCTTTGCTAGCGGCTTTGCCCATGCCCAGTTTCGTAGTGCTCTTCCAAACGACTTGGGTGAAGTGTCCGGTGTTCATGGCGAAGCCTGGCTTCTTAAAATCGTAGAGGGATATTTCATCATACCACTCCTTTACACAATCATTCGGGTCTCCTCCATAAGTGAGGTATAAGTTCTCACCAAGACCAGGAGCTTTTGAGTGCTCAAATACGTCCTTTTCGGCCAATTCCTGTGTGTGGCAACACCTATTAGTTGGTGGTTGTCTGCTGATTTCGTTTGATATATTACATCCATACCTTGGCATATGATTCAGCGCCGTTACTCAACTCCTGGTCCAATGTTAGGTCTGGGGCACTGTGTTTTTTCCTGTACTCATTATGCTTTTTAAGACAATCCTCAGCGAAATCAGCTTGGATCTGGGCGAACTGCAATTAATGTTGATCGACCCCTAATGGTGTTGATAATTTTAATTATTTATTTTCTTGCACTTACCCCATAAAATGTAAGCATATTCAGAATATATTTCACCTGCATTGTTATATTAATCTATATGTATGGTAGGACTGACAGAATTTTCCAGGGCTTTATTTACGTAGTAAATGTGTTCTCTAGTGTTTCAGTTTTTCCATCGGGAATAGCCTTTTTTATTTCCATAAGTTTTTCCTTGCTGCTATTAGCTTTATGAAGGCTTAATGCATTCTGGCATTAAGGGCCCTACAGATGACTTCAATATAGGACCATGTGCAGCCGCGACGGGGAAAAGGATAATGTGATGAGTGGGGATCGTCAGCGACAGCGGACGGATATTAAATTGTTTGAATGTTGGGGGGCAACAATGGGCTAGCTAGATATTGGCCCACTTGTGCCCTGCGGGTTGGTCTGGATACTCCCCGTGTGTGGCCAAGCCACCGCAACGCATGTGGCTGATGCTTTGGGCCATCATGGCGCTGACAACAATAACAGCGTGGCAGCGGCGACACGAGCAACAACTGCAAAGTAAGTACTTTGTCCTCCGCTTCGGCTTCGGCTTTGGCTCTTTTTGGTTGTAAAATGTCAATTTGGGCCCTTGACAAAGATTTATTGTGTGGCAGAGGCGTCAGTGTTTGATAGGTGCGCGCTTAACTGCCCCCCCCACACATTCAATGTATGAGCAACATATTCCCACTATCAGTATCACCATCATCATCAGCACTAGGCCTGCCACTGCCGCTGCCAGTGCCAGTGCCAGTGCAATTCATTTTTTAGTTTTTATTTTTTATTTAGTTTTTGGTCGGTCCACAATCCAATTTCCGTGCCACAAAGGCAAGTTCAACTGTGCGGAGAATGAATGCAACAGAGTCACCAAAAGGAGTCAACGCTGGCTGTCGGGGTGTGTGGCATTTAAATGGAAATGGCATATTCTCCAGCCACATAATGGTTAACCAACAAAACACACACAAAATGCCACATTTTTGTACAAAAATGAACATCAAAAGGCGTCAAGAGGATGAAGAATATAAATTGCATAAAAATGTGCATAATAAATGCAATTTATACTGCCGAAAAGAGTCTCCTGCTGTTAGAGTCCTCAGGGGCACCGACCTCGACCTGGGGCATAGCTAAACTAATTTCTTCTAACTCAAGCAGGGCAAACACTGTCGCAGGACTATGGCTGCTTTGTCCATTTAAGCAGCAGTGCCGTTCCCCCCCAATCCCTGCCTGCTGCCCAGGTGCAATCCTGCTCTCTGATGGCAGCCCTGACCGACATTCGATGAATTGACCAACGCAGCTTGTTATTTTTTGTGTGCAACAGCGCGTTTCATTTGCTGCTGGAGGTTATCTGTGCCCTGCTCCCTGACCCATGCCACACCATCAACCATCCTAACCAGAGGGTGAAAACAGAAGAAGACGGGGAAGCTTTTTCCCCTGGCAGTTCCCAAGCCTTTTTTTTTTTTTGTTTGTTTGCTGTTGGCCAAAAAGTTTCGCTCTGTTTTTGCCAGATTCCCGTATTCGTTCAACCGGACGGACAGGCGACGTATGTTTTTCACCTGCCCAATGCTTCCACTCCGCTCCACTCCACTCCGCTCCACTCGCATTCTGTTCGTATTTGTTTGCGTATTATTGCCCCACACTCGCACTGGGAAATCGGGTTTGTTTGCCCAGCATCTTTCCTCTCCTCTCCTCTCGTCTCGTCTCCGATGGTTGTGTGCGGGTACGCGTGAATTTCCCGCTGACAATTGTGATTTTCGCTTGGTTCAGCATCGGGCAAAAGGTTTTTAATTAGATTTTACTTCATGTTCCGCTGTCATTCAATGACAATGCGCGTTGTCTGCTGCATCTGCTCGCTGCTCACTGCTCACTGCTTGTGCTTTATCCCCATTTCTATCCAACTAAATGAGTTGTTCAGTTCAATCATTCAATTGCCAGTTGATTAATTTGGTTATTTTTTTTCCGTTGCCCTGGCATCTGTTTCATGCATTCAATTCGAATGAACCGATAAAATCCAAAATGATATCGATGTTAAAGATTGATAGTTCGAACAACTCTGTGCAACTCTGTGACTCAGTTGTCAACGTAGAATTATTTTACTGCTGAAAAGTGGAAAATTCACTAATTGTCTCGCACATATCGATACATCGTTTCTGGTCGCTGCTACAACAGACCAACCACTAACGCCAATAGGCGTTGAAATCACAAAAAAAAAAAAAAATTCACTAATTTATAAAGTGAGAAAGTGAGAAAAACGTTTAAACAGTCGCGAAAATGGCAGAAGAAAAGGCTAAAGAGAATCTATGGTATGCCATATTGAATGAGCAAAAGCCACGCTTCAGAAAACTGGTATCAAACAAATCTTTACTCGTTTTGGGTGATAATGGCACCGGCAAGACGTCCCTCATTGCCAAGCTGCAGGGAAAGAAGCCCCCGAAGCATGGAGCCGGCCTGGAGTATGCCTACATTGATGTGGAGGACGACAGCAATGGAGACAAGGCGCAGCTGGGAGTGTGGACAATGGATGGTGACACTGGGCACACAAGTCTGTTGGCCTTGGCCCTCAACGTAAATAACTTTGAAGGTGCACTCGTCATGCTTACAGTTTCGATGACAGAGCCCTGGACCTGGCCGGAGCAACTCAACCATTGGATAAACGTGCTGGAAGGCCACATCGAAAGCCTGCCGCTGGCTGCCGAGCAGAAGGAGGCGGCACGCAAGCAACTGGCAACAAAGTGGCAGAGTTACTGCTACCCGGGATCGTCTCTGAAACAAACAAGCGTCGGTCTAAACAGTGCAATCGATGGGGATGATCTGTTGCCGCTGACAGAGGATGAACTTACCACAAATCTAGGTGTCGACCTTGTCGTTGTGGTCACAAAGACGGACTGCATGGCAGCCGCCTTTCAGTTGGAGCACGACTATCGTGACGAGCACTTCGATTTTATGCAGCAGTGGATACGCAAATTTTGCCTTCGTCACGGCGCTGCACTCTTCTACACGAGCATCAAGAAAGCCACAAACTGTGATTACCTCCAGAAGTATCTTTTGCATCGAGTTTACGGTCTGCCCTTCCAAACTCCACCAATGGTCGCCGAGCCGGATGCCGTATGCGTTCCAGCTGGCTGGGATACCCTGAAGAAGATTGATATTTTGTCTGAGAACAACCATGGCATCCAGGCCGATAGTGACTACACGGACGTCATCAGGGCGCCTTACACTGGGAATGGGATGTACAATCGAGATTTGGAATTCGTGGAAACCGTGGACGAGCAGGCATTCCTGGCCCGCCAATTGGAGATCCTCAAAAGGCTCGACCAAGAGCAGGCACAGGGAGGCGGCGACACCATACACCGCACGCACCGAACCAGCACTGGACTGCGCTCCACCATAATAACGGATTCACCTGAATCTGCTGGTGGCGAGGGAATTTTGGCCAAGTTCTTCAGCTCGCTTCTACAGAAAAAGGCGGCAACTAGCACTGCTGACGGCTCGGAGTCTGGCCGCAACGATACCGAGAAGTTGGCAGTTCCCTTGGATCCGAGCGCAGATTTGGATCGCTTCTCCAGCAATTGGAAGAAGGCAGATCCGAAGAAGCCAGAGGAACCACAACAGAACATGAACGAGCATGAACAAACTAAGAACTAAAAAAATAAACAACAAATTGAGCAGCAAAGAGTTTGGTTTGTGTTGGAAGAGGGAGAGGGAGAGGCAGTATAGGCAGAGATCATGCTGGGCGGCAGAGAGATGCATGCGATAAGAATGCATGATTGAAGCTGGCACAGGCAGAAGCGACAACGGCGTTGGCAGAGGTAAAGAAGGGAAAGAGAGTGCTAGAGAGATCGAAAGGCAGAACTATGCAGATAAGTTATGTATGTATGAGCAGCAGAGACAGGGGCGTAGCAGAAGCATGTGCGGAGCAGAGGTATCAAAAAGGGAGTCAGAGCAAAGCTAACACCTTATTTCCCCCCTTCACCATATGCAGGGCAGCCCATTATCTTTTCCAGCATTTCCCCATCATGAGTGAGTTCCACTCGCTTTTCTGTGCTTTTCCTGTTGTTCTTCCTTCATTTAAGTAATTTAAAATTCGCATTAAGTTTGTTTGTCGCTGGCATTAAGTTTTATTATGAAGATGAATTGTGGCTGATTCCGTGTGTGCATCTGTGATCCCAGCTCCTGTGGGGTGGGGGTCGGGGTCGAGGTCCCATGTGTGTTTTCAACGTGAATGTTTGCATTAATTGAGGGTTAAGTGCCTGCTGCTGCCTAAGAACTTTTGCAAATGTCATCGTTAGGAAACCGCAGTGGGTGCATGCCACTGCGGATGCAACGCACGAGCATCTCCACCTTGCAGCATATCAAATCAAGTGTCACATGGAAATACCCATCAAAACCCTAACACACATCAAACGAGATTCATTTAATTCTCACAAAGGTACTACCGCATAGGTTATTTATTGATAACTCTGCAACCATGGAGGGTTCTTCCATAACTATCCAAAATTTCAGTAATATTGCTCTCCCCGATAAAGCCCCTAACGTGGCCAAACCTTTGGCCCAGAAGCAAGGCACTCATCCACTTTTGCCCTGCCATGCCCCTGGATTACCTCGATGTGTGACCGATGTTCTGGCAGTACCGCCAGCCGAAACCCTATGGAAGTTTATTGAGCTGCCATGGGTCAAGAAGACAAAGATCTTCCACTGCGAGCCGCCACCGGAGCCAAGTCATCCGAAGCGAAGAGGCTCACAGCTTGCCAAGGAGGAGGTGGAGGAGGAGCAGGCCAGCGAGCAGTCGTCACCGCCCACAATGGATGAGGAAATGCAGCTGGAGGACATTCTGGCAGAGGTGAATCGCATTAAAGGGCGCGTGGGAGAGGTGGATCGTCAGCTGGAGTCCCGCATACCCGATTGCCCGGACATCGATCCCTGCGTGAGCATGGACGTGGAGCTGCTGGCGTTCAACACCAATCCCGATATCTTGGAGCTGCAGCGCAACACCCACAAGCTGCGCCAGCAGTTGGCGGAGCTCCAGCTGTGCCGCGTGGCCACGGACAAAAACATAAAGGACATGCGTGCCAGCGTTTGCCGGGAGATGGAGCATGCCGATCGCCTGCAGAAGCGCCTCAACGAGCTGGACTCCTTCAAGCGTACCCTGGAGCGAGAGCAGGCCATTTGCAAGCAGCGCTTCCACTTCGTGGAGCAGGTGAAGGTCGATGGCGGCGAGTGCAACAATTACTTCGACTCTGAGCGAAAGCTGATGGAGTGCTACCTGGACAGGCTGGTCACCAAGCTGGACTACCAGCAGCAGAAGCGTCGGGCCCTCAAGGATATCGACTATGTGAAACTGAAGGCCAAGAAGTTCCACGACCACATGTTCTACGCAATTGACAAGCTGGACGCCTTCATGGGCACCGACGGACGCATGCATCCGCCGGAGCTGTTGACCTTCCTCTCCCGCAACGAGAAGTTGTTCGGCCCCTGTACCTATTAAACGCACAAATCTGTCTTCAAATGGTTCAATTTGTCTTCGACAAATGGGGCTAGGGGGGTCAAGCCGCTCCCCAAAACATGGCACGGAGATGATTATGTTGTCCTGTCTGCTGTAGCCCTGGCGACAGCTGTCACAAATGTTGCTGGCATTCCAGATATTCTTTAGGCGGAGAAGGTATTGACGACTGTCGCGTCACTAAGGTTGACAGGCAGCTTAAAAACAGAGTATTATTTAATACTTGGGCAACCAAAAAACAACACAATAGAAGTCATTTACAGCGATAACTTTACGATTTATGATTCGAATTTCCATCGACGAGAGCATTTCCAATTCGTTGTGCCACAGATAATTGTGGATTTCTTTTGGTGTTTCGCTCTGTATTTCGGGGTGCCCACAACAAATTGTATTTAGCATAAAAATTTACGATAATGACCGCACAGAACAACGTCAGCGACACGAGCACCGCACACCACGACCATCAGCGGAGGCAGACATCGCATCAAATTTCGCATAGGCAAATAGACGACAGACACATCCACACCGAGGAAGATGGGCAGGGAAACCAGCAGTTGACGCCTGTTGTGGCCAGGATCTAACGAGAGATGTGGTTCAGGGCGTGTGGTGTGGTGTGGTTTGTTGTGGGAGCGTCGCACAGGTTCTCCATTCAAGTGTCATTGCCCGTCTAATGCTCAAAGTTAAATTAATATTTTTGCCATTGCCGCAACGCAACGCAACGCAACACAACACGAACAAGAAACTTGTTTTGGCGCTGATTCCTCTCTGGATCTCGCATTTCAAAAATTGACGAATATTTTCTGCGGCTTAACCAGCAGTCAAAGTCAACTGTTGTCGGTTTTTCTGGCCAACAGAGAATTTTCGTTTTCATGTTTGGCGTATATTTCCTCTTACTTTTATATATTTTCTGGGAGATTAGCAAAGTTTTGTGCAGTCATTTATTTAAACTTTTTGCTCGGCATTGGGGGAAGTGGGGGGAGAGTGAGAGACAGCGACAGGGACAGCCAAAGAGATGGCAGATATTTCTCGTATATAAATTGTGTAAAACGAATTTTGATATCCTGATAATCGCATTTGGAACGCTGCCTGAAGGATAATCGCAAAATAAAAATAACTTTTTCCTCTTCAAATATTGTGCAGCGATGGGCGAGGCATATTGTCACTTATATTTAAGATTTCTATAATGATAAAAATATTAAAAATAAAAATACTATGTACAGTTTTCCGTGCTACAAGTTTTCATGAAAGATTTGCCCCAACAAAATTATGCATTTTTCGTTTGAATAAATACTAAATGCACAGAAAATTTTGGTTACCAAATACGATATTCTTTTGCAAAGTGAAATGAATTTATTTGTGTCGAAATTGCGAGTACGTTGAACGATACGATGTACATACATATGTACATGTGATGTGGCATACTTGTGGGGGGCAATGAGAATAAATGCAAAAGAATCCCAAGCACTTCAGGTTGCCATTTACATTTGCATTGGCATTGGCATTTTTACTTTGCCTTGAATAGCATGTGTGTGTGTGTGTCGCTCTCTGCTCCCTCTCTCTCTCTGTGTGTGTCCTGCTGCTGCTGGGCTTACTTCCGTCGGAATGTGGCGAATGGTGCGTGTATCTGTAAGTAACATACTGCAGTTGGCTTACGCGACAAGTGCTCTCCCCTTCCTTTCCTTTCCTTTCCCCTTCCTTTCTTTTCCCTTCTCTGCCCACTGCTCTGGAAATGCGTCTATAAATTATTCATTTCGTTTGAGATGTTTGGATGTGCCTCCAAGTAGCATGATGTCCTCTCCACACACACAGCCATTGCCAATCGGTTTGTTGCCTGTGCATCCTCTGGTTTACTTTTAGCCGCATTTCATTGAATTCATTCATTTTTTAGCTGCTGCCTCGCGTTTACCATCCTTTTCCTTTTCCCATTCCTTTCCCTGTTTTCACTGGTTATTGTTGGTGTTTGCCACAGCTTTGCATAAATAAGATAAACACAAGGATGTGCCACAGAGGCATGGGTGGCATGCAGGCAGGCTGGCTGCATTCCCATGGACTGCAGCTGAATCCCCAATCCTCAATCCCCAATCCCTCTACCGCCAGTCCAGACCAGACCATCTTCCATCGTCTCGAGTCTCGAGTCTCTCCGAGTCGAGGCTGTGATTTATTTTGCACTCAATGTTTGCCAAAGTAAAATTGATTGAAGCGTTTGTTGGCGCTTCAATTGATTTTCACTACAGTCCCTACCGTATATGTACGGCTGCTTCTCCATCCGTCCGTCCTTCCTTCATTCTTGCTTTTTTTTGGTCTTGTTGTTGGTACCATTGATGTTCTCGTGGCCAGCGAAGCATTTGAAGTGCTTGGGTGGTGCTCTGGCACTCAGGATCTCTCTCAGGCTCACAGGCTCTCAACTCTCGGCTTGTTTACAGTGGTTAAATTAACTTTGGTCAATTTGGTTTTGTCGAGTGGTCGGACACACGGCTGTACTCTGGATTCCAACTCTCCCCTCGCATCGAATTTTGTTTGAGTTATCCCACACAATAGTGGGGCGGGGCGGGGCGGGGGATAATGGCATAAATCTCAGCGTTTATTCATGTTCATCCCCACGTGCCTTGCTGTTTAATTGCCGGGCTAAACGATTTGGCCCTTTAAGGGCTGTGCAAAAATCAGCAACAATTCATCAAATGTCGTGCTCTGATTTTATTAACTGACGGTGATGGTGATTGAGGCACATCTGGGGCCATCAACACCTGCAGCCGGCAGTCGATCATCAACCACCGAACTGAAGCGCCTCTCAACCACCCTGAAATCATACCTCTTTCTACCCCCACCCGCCCTTAACAATCACCAACCAACTGCAGTCGCATAAATCTTGGCCTGTCAAGTGCACACTGAGAGAATGGAGAGGCGAAGGCCACACAAAGATGGGGCTAAAAAATTGCCAAAAGAAGGAAGAAAGACGTGCCGAAAGAAGGGGGAAGATAGTGTCGGAGAAGGGGGTGGGGGACAGAAGAAAACGGAAATAAATAAGAGAAATATATAATAATAGCAATAATAATTATGCAGGGGAGATATCTTATAAAAATAAACACGCAACGCAAATGTATGCCATTCATTTTTATGAATGGGCATTTATCATAATTAAAAATTCTGCCAACACCGGGACGAAGGATTCGTTCCTCACACAGTCACACACACACACGCACGCACAGATACTCCTCTCGCACACAGGCAGACACAGATGCCACAGTTTCTGACCTAAGACACACGCCACAGGACTCTCTCTCTCAGAGAGAGAGAGACCGAGAAGAGTGCGTCACAGCAAAAGCCGACAACGAGGACAACGACAGCACTTTTCTTTTTATGTTTTCCTTTTTGTTTTTTTGTTTTTTGTTTTTGTTTTTGGAGGGGTTTCTCTTGTAGCCCTGCTTCATTGGCTTCATTTTTGGGGGAACAGCTGTTGCTGTTTTGGAGCTTGGGACAACTTTGGGACACTGGCAAATGAGCAGAGTTGTGGGGCATTGGAAGAGCTCTCTGTTGGTGGCATTGGTGTATGGGCCACAGCGCATGTCCGTCCAGAGTCCCACCCAAAACGCTGCAGACTCTCTTAGATGGCTCGCTTTCTCTTTGCTTGGACTACTGCCAATTGCCGTGCTGTTCGGCTTTTGGGGGCGCTCGGCTTCGTTTTTGGGTGGACACGAGCTCGGGTTTCTGGCGGGGGCATCGTGGCTGGTGCCAGCCATCCATCGCCACTTTGAATGCCGTTGTCGTGGGCTTCAGTTGTGTCCAAGGGCCAAGTGCGGAATCATTTTATTGCGGCTACTCTACGTACTGTAGTGCATTCTGCCCACGAGCTACGTACGACATCCTGCTACGGACTGCGAGCTACGGCTAGGACTATCTATCGTGTGTCGGTTGTGTGTTCCGCCTCGTGGCTTACGCTCAATTTAATCAGTGATTAAGATGTTGCCCATGCCGCTAATCGGTTGAGGCATTCGAGCAAGTGTCATCTGAATAAAAGTTTGGTATCTTTTTTGCCGCGCCAACACAACAAATAACAACAAGAAACAAGAAAGCCACAAGTTCAAGTAAATCCACAGACATTTCCTTCCACCCATATCCCCATATACATATGTACGAGTATATTTGTGTGGCTCTCTGTGTGTCCTGTGCGGCGTATCCGTGTGTGTATCTGTGTGTATAATGCGTATGTAATCCAAGCAAATCTGTCACGTGTTTCGGATATCTTTTTGTGAGCTGCAAGCCAGAGGAATTTATTGAAAAAAAAAAAAAGGTGAGGCCAATCCAAGCACGCATATGGCAGATGGTAAAACCATGAACCCAACCCGTTTGCCCCCGACAATCACGTGGAAAATTAAAATAGTTAAGCAGCTTACGATGGAGGTATTGAGGCATACAAAACTCCACCACCACCACCACCCCCTCTATATGGTTATTGATAATTGAATATAAATTGGTTATTTTTGGTGCGGGGTATTAAATGGGATTTATAATGGGACTACTCTTATGATTTATTGGCCGGCGGGAATACGAGTATTTGTTGAATGATTATTATTGGAATTTGGAATTTGCTGGTATAAATCTCATTGGGAATATCTTTTTGGTGTTTTGGGAAATTTGTATTAAATTTACAGCATGTTTATTTAAAACCTAACTAATTTCGGCTATCCCTTAAATTCACAAAAGGTGAAATGATACCTTTTCTCCTCCATTAAAATCCCAGCCTAATGGTCACCCCAAAGGGATTTGCTGCCGCCGCTTTAACCAACATTTAACCTTTATGTGCTGGAAAGTTGCCCAAATTAAATGACAGAATTTGATTAGACCCATACACGCAACGAAACGAAAGTTTTGGCGGCGCCCCCAGTGCTCCACCTGCTACGAGAGGTTGTGCTCAAGTACTCGTATATTTTTCCCTTGGCTGGCAAAACTTTCACCAAAATTCGCCCCTTCCCAGCCCCCCTAATTGTTTATTTAACAGCAATGAAAAAATCATTACGCATTCGTTTGGCTTTCGTACTTCAAAAGGTGAAATTCCCATGAAAAATTGTATAAATAAGTTGAAAAGTTTTTAATGCATATCAAAATTATGCCATCGAATCACAAAAACCAACAAAAAAAAAACACACACACACAAAGCATGGAATTTAACTAAAGAAATGTTGATTTAAAATGCAAAATGAAATGACAAACAAATGGGGGAATTGTATAAAAGGGAGGAAAAGAGAGAGAGAGAGAGAGAGAG